TGTGTGTGTGGTGTGTGTGGTGTGTGTGGTGTGTGTGGTGTGTGTGTGTGTGTGTGGTGTGTGTGTGTGTGGTGTGTGTGTGTGTGTGTGTGGTGTGTGTGTGTGTGTGGTGTGTGTGTGTGTGTGGTGTGTGTGTGGTGTGTGTGGTGTGTGTGGTGTGTGTTGTGTGTGTGGTGTGTGTGTGGTGTGTGTTTGTTTGTTTGTTTGTTTGTTTGTTTGTTTGTTTCGTTGTATTCAAGGAACACCATATATAAGGAAAACCGCAATTTGACCAGTGTTCTCCGTTTTGCCCTGTGCCATCGGGCAAGTGAGGGACATGAGCTCTTGACAAGGGAAGGTACAAAACCGAAACTGATCCATCTGTGTCCCTCTCCACCGCTCAGTTCTGTTTATTTCTGGCTAGTATTGGCCTAGCATTCGCATTGTTCAGTTTTGGCATAGTATCGCTTGGTCTTTGTTATGCAGTTGAGTTGTAAAAGACCGGTTCAGTGGTGCCGGGGTGTTGCTTCATTTCTTGAATTTGCTGGTTGGCTGTGACATTTGGCTCATGAAACCACTCCAAATGTGCGGTGACTCTTGCTTCTTTCGAAAAGCTGGCAAAATGAGTTCTTTGGGCTTCTTGGTACCAGATGCTTTTAGCCCTAAGTAAACGCAGAGGAGAACCATGCCCCTTGCTACAGTAGTTAACAATTTGTGCTCACGCACTCCTTATTACACCACCTTCTTGGTGTGTGTGTGTGTGCGGCCACACCACCACAACGACAACTTTTTGACCAGTTTCGCCCCATTGCCCTTGTGCCCGCAGGACGCTCTCGCAGCCTTGTTGCTATCTGCGAACCGAGCAGAAGAGGCGGAGGAGGCAGCGATCGTCACCGACCGGCCGCACAGTCAACAGACTTTTGGCTGCGCGACGCCCGCTGGTAACTTCATGGATTGCAAAGGGTCCTTTTGTCATGATCGCCTTCAGAGGTCGGGCTATGTCAGCACGAACACACACTCAAACATAGCGGCCAAAGATGAGCGACACTTGGACAGCGATGAATGCCTCCACCTTCCCGTTTCGTCATGCAAAGTCTGACTGAGGGAGCGTACCTCGTCCTCGCTTGCATCGGCGCCTTCCTTTATTCCTGCTTGTGGTTGCCCCGCTATGCATACCTTTCCCTCGCTGACTTTACTATCAGGAAAGGTGCTCGGCATGCTGCATATGCTTATTGTCTCATATTGTCTCTTGTCCCAAACTCTTCGTTTTGTTGCCCCACAACTCCCAGTTTCTTCGGGAATGCGTTGTTGATGGGATTGCTGTTTATCCAGGAGCCCTGTATATGATTTGATGTGCCAGTTCATCGCTGTGAAAAGATTGTCGCTTTCTCTGGCGAATTGACGCTTTTTAATGTAGCTTTATGGGAGTCCCCATGTGTGGGTGTGTGTGTGTGTGAGGGTCGAGATTCTCCAACTTCAAAGCGGGTTCTGATGCTCCGATCTCCTGCCGGTGCGTCAGGAGTTGACCCGTTCAAGCTTGGGCGACTCAGGTTGAGAACCTGCGGAAAGGCCCATTATTGGCTTAAAAGAGGCTTGTAATCATGACATGGTGGGTTCCAGGTTGGCCCAGCTGGTTGTTCTGACTGCGCGGGTCCGATCCTTTAAGACAGTTCCATGGCAAGGGAAGCCTTCGGCCGGCACCCAGCAGGTCCTGCGAAGTGGCTGGACCACACGGACTGGCGCTGCCGCGGTGCAGGAGGGAGCATTGCATGGGTGTGGATCAAAATAGGGATGTTCGCCCCAAATGCTTTCCTTTTGGTTTCCCTTTCGACCAACCTGACAAGGGTGGTCTCAACCACCAAATTGTCATTTTGTAAGAAAGGCGGGGTCATACACCCATTGATTGGAGTGGGGTTGATAAACTTATGACGCTTTCTGAAACCCCGTCAGCACCAACAACGCCAGGGTCAAATAATGAACAGGGGCCTGTTGTTGCAATGCGGTCAAACAAGGGGTGAATTCGCGTGAACAGCGAATTTGACTGCATCCAGGTGGTAACACTAGTATTTTGGCGCTCAGTGGGATCAAAAGGACACCCCCAACGCTTCCTTGTTAGACGATTGCACGATAAAAAGGGCCTATTTTTCAAAAAAAATAGTTAGGCCCAGGCCTATATACGGAAGGACCTCGAGGCTGGAATCCAAATTGTTGTGTTGTATTGGTTTCCTGCTTATGACCAAACCTTGCCGGACTTATTTAATCAACTCTTCCAGGCGCACAGCTCGCTGGGCCAGGCCCTGCGCTTGCAGGGAAAGGCGGGATGTGTGTCTGTGTTCATTTTGAGGGTTCCCATGGTTCCTCAATTTAGAGACAAACCCAAATATCAACACATTCAGAGATTGCCCTTTCTCAGTGAATGGCAAGGGTAGGAAAGAACCTAGGGCTTCTGGAGGAGGGGCGGCTTGGGCGCAATCCTGGATATCCTATTGAGGCTAGCAAGGAAGGGAACTGCAAAAGGGGTTTTGTGTAAAAGAACAGGAGGAGTGGCTGGCTGAGTGTATTTGGGTTTGCCGGATGTGTTGATATTTGGGTTTGTCTCTAAATCAAGGAACCATGGGAACAGGGGGGTCTTTTTGCCACCTTTTGTGAGAAAATGGGCGACCCCCTTAAAAAGGAATCCTTCACTATGAGGGGGTCGATTAATTTTCTCACAAAAGGTGGCAAAAGACCCCCCTGCATGGGAACCCTCAAAATGAACACACACACACACACCATTTGATGCGGAAGGAATTGAGTTTTACATTCTGAGCGGGGCTTGTTGGGCATTTGCTGGGGTTCCCATGCTTGGCTCGGATTGGGTTTGAGGATAAGTCCCATGAAGATGAGCATGGACATCAACAAACACAGATTTCTGGAGGAACATAGTTTGGGTGACCCTTGGTTCGGGTTTCGAGGAATTTGTAGGGGAGTATGCGCCTTGATTTGATGATGCGCAAGCGCAAGTGACAGCATTGATTCATTCCCAAAAGAGGCCGGTGTGACCTTTTGCTTTCTACCAAAGTTGAGTCGTCCCTAAGCGTATCCTTCATGAAGTGCCCCCCACTCCCAGACCAAGCAAAATAAAACGCTGCCCACAAAACAAAGCAAACACTGCACATGTTGCGAAAAGTCAATTGTTGGGGTGGACAAATGGGGCCTTTTCCCTCGAGGCGTTTTCCCTTGAGGTTCTTTCCACGGGTGTTTGGGGTCTCGGTGATCCCTGCACAGATTGAGCTGTCTTTTAGGCCGGCGAGGCATAGAATGGTCAGAGGGGTGCCTGGTGTTCGTTGGTGGGCAAACGCGTGGGTCGTCCAGGCAGAGGAGGCTCTTGAGCAGTTCCGCTTGGCATACGAGCAGCTCGGCCGGTAGGATGACAGAAGGCGACTGGTTTCGAATTATATTTGTCTAAGGTATAACGACCTCGCCTGCAAAAAAATCAAGCTTGGTTTCTTTCATTCATGCTTTCTCTCTTTCCGGCCAAAACGTACCTGTTGCCCGCGACCGCCGGGAAGCGGGTCCCTGAGACCTCCAAAAAGCGTGGCAGGCGCAGCAAAAGCGCACTTCCGCTGTTCCTGGTTATATACCGCTATCATCGACTTGGCAACCAGTATGGCTCTTCGGGCAGAAGCCACGTCAAGGCTTCCAGACGGTAGGCTGAGTCCCAAAGTGCCTTTCTGAAGTTCTTCACTGCATTCCATATGCTTTCAGCACGTTGCGCAGGCCTCGGACGTATCCCCGGAAAAGGCAAACAGTTGGCAAACCTAAACCTAAACCCTAACAACCCTAAACCCAAACCAGAAAAGCCAGCCTCGGATGCACCGGACAGCCAGCTCCAAGCAAACCTCAACCCGAAGAATCCTAGACTTAAGCCCTCAAAACCCTAAACCCTAAAAACCCTAAACCCTAAAAACCCTAAACCTAAACCCTAAAGACCCTAAACCTAAACTCTTAAAACCTTAAACCCCTAAAATCCCTAAACCCTGATAACCCTAAACATAAACCCTTGCAACCCTAAACCTAAACCCTAAAAACCCAAACCTCAACTAAAATCCCAAATCAGCAGTGCGACCTGTCACTAGTCCTCGTGTCAAAGAAGGTCCTCGCCAAGACACGGGCCTCGAACGGCAACCCCAGTCCATGGAAGGAGCCAATGCCTGAAAGCCGGATGCATCTGCGGATGACACACCTGCCAGCGCGATCATACAGCATAACAAGACCTTGTGGGCGACACGTATGTTTTGTGGGGTCCCTTTTTGTTCATTCATTCATTCGTTCATTCATTCATTCATTCATTCATTCGGTCGGTCGGTCGGTCGTTCATTTCATGTCATTTCATGTCATTTCATGTCATTTCATTTCATTTCATTGCATTTCATTTCATTTCATTTCATTTCATTCATTTCATTCATTTCATTCATTTCATTCATTCATTCATTCATTCATTCATTAATTCATTCATTCCAATTCCAATTCCAATTCCAATTCCAATTCCAATTCCAATTCCAATTCCAATTCCAATTCCAATTCCAATTCCAATTCCAATTCAATTCAATTCAATTCAGTTCAATTCAATTCAATTCAATTTATTTTGATTTCATTTCATTTCATTCGTTCATTCACTCATTCATTCTTTCATTCATTTCAGTATTGCTTTCTTTCTTTCTTTCTTTCTTTCTTTCTTTCTTTCTTTGTTTCTTTCTTTGTTTCTTTCTTTTTTTTCTTTCCTTGCTTTTGTTCTTTTGTGTTATGTAAGTCGCGTTTTTCTAGCTTGCTTTGCATGTCTGCTTCCTTGCTCATTGAAGGTTTGGCTTGGCTTGGCTGGTTTGCTTGTTTTCCTGTTTCCGCCTGCTTTTTTGTTTGCTTGCTTGCTTGCTTGCTTGCTTGCTCGTTTGTTTGCTTTTCCGTTTGTTTGTCTGTCTGTCTGTTTGTGCGTTTGTGGGTTGGTGCGTTGGTGCGCTTGGGTGGGTGTGTGTGTGTGTGTGAAATGTGATGCTTGGGCCCTAGGGTTCTCCAAGACAACCAGTCAGCCTCCCTCGGACACCGCTCGGATGAACTCGCCCGGCTGTGTCAGAGGAGGAAGGGGCCCCCACTTTTTCCGCTGTTGCTTCACGGAGATACTCATACACGGCTTTGCATCTCTGTGCACGGTGCTGTTCATTCCGAGGAAAACCGCAAGCTTTTTGGTACGTCTTCTTTTGCTTTACCACGGGCACTGACCATTCCTGAGGACCACAAAGCGACCTCGCTTGCTTGACACTGCCCGCGGTTTGGTTTGTACTCCAGCGCCTTACCAGACGTTGGACTTGCGTGTAGCGCTGTACATTTAAAGTGGCGTCAAACATGGTATGGTCCCTTTCTTCTTGCAAAACGTGCACAAGATGGCAGTCGCGGCCTCGCAAAGGTGTGTGGAAGGATGCGGAAGGTTTATAATATATATATATATTAATATATATATATATAGATGTGTGTGTTACAGCGACGACTGTAACAACAGAAGCCCCAAATCAACCGCACTGTCGCCGTGGAATCAAAAGAAACCAAAACATGCCCACGGAAGCCCGTGGACGTGTTTTAACAAAAACATGCCTGCGGAAGCAAGGGTTCACGCCGCAGAGACTTGGCGGAAGGGTTCGCGGAAGGTTTGATACTGTCATCAGAGCAATAAGATCACAATAAGAAAACAACACACAGCTCACATGCTGCTCCTTATATTCTGTTTTGTTGGAGCTCATTGTCCGCACGTGCATGTAGACCACTGCGCGTAAACATCCCCCTCAAGCGTAAACATTTTGTTCATAACACGTTTCGGAGCTTGAAGAAAAAGAGAACAAGCAGCGCATGCCACGAGGTCTTGAACCTAAGGGCTGTGGGCTGGGTTTGGCTTGTGGCTTGGTGGGCTGGCTGGCTGTTGGTTGGTCAGTGGTTCAGCTGGTCGGTGCAATGGGTACCAGTGTGGAAGTCATAAGCAAAAGCGCCCACCCATTTGTTTGGAGCTAAAGCCACTCCCCAGATGAGCTTCGATTTTCAAGCCTGTAGGCCACACACAAGCACAGAAGGTTGTTTGGCACGAAGAGCGGATGGATATTGTTTGGACCAGGCTCGAAGTGGAAGCTTGGCTTCAGGCTGCGTAGCAACATTTGTGAGCCAGGTTTACCGTCCAAGGTTTTCTCCAGGGTGCATTCTGGTTGACTTGTAGCGGCAAGACGGCTAGTACCGATTCCCCAAACAAAACATTGGCCAGGTCTTCATCTACATTGCGACTATTTTGGCCCCTAACTTCACGAATCGGATTGTATAGCTTCAGGCTGTTCGGCTGTGGCGTTGGACAGCCCCTGACATCTCTGAGGCTCGGCCCACAAAGAGTTTGGCAGATACGAGGGGGCTGGCGATATGCCGTGGATGGCTGACTATTTTTAGGAAAACAGCACGCCATCTCAAGATTTGGATTGTAGCGTCCTGCAGATGTCTGTGTTTGGCTTGCCAAGGACCTGCCAGCATGATCCTGATCTTGGTGGCTTTCGCCCAAGCGCATTTGCAGCCGAGTGTGAACAACACGCCTGCAAAATGCCCAGGTCTGGGATTTGGGCCCAGGCATGGATGCAAGCTACTGACGTAAGTTTCCATTGGGTGGACAGTGGACGGCGTTGCAGAATTAGGGAACGCGCGGGGTTGGCGACCACACCTTATCGCAAGGGGCTTCGGACATGATTTCTACCGGAAAGGTGACTTCCATGAATTCTTGCCTGCTGCCCTAAGGCCGCGAGAGTCCCAACAGCTATGCGGCCGCCAGCAACTTGGCGTCGCCGGGCCCTGCTTGAATCGCGCGGCTTTGCAGAGTTGGTGGGAGATTTGCTCGGAGCAATGCCGCAGATGCCGATTTGTCCCTGTTGAACTGGATCGGTTTGTCTGGCTTTGTACCAAAATAGTATGGCTGAGATGCAGGAAATGGATCGGAGCGATGCGAAGCTCATGCTTCTCGCTTTCTGGCTTTGTCCAATCTGATCTCGACATCCGCTCTAGAAGCCAGGTCCGCTCTACAAGAGGTTGGGCGGTGGGAGGAGGCGCAATGGATGTTGGCAACGTGTCGCGTGAGCAAAAACGGGTTGCTTGATGGGAACGAGCCTCGAATTCATTGCCCTTCCCTGATGGTACAGAGGTTCCTGAGACACATGCACGTCATCAAACAATGACGGACCCTATGTATGCGTGTCTACGCAAAGAAATCGTTCCCTGTTGCTTCGCTTTGGCAAGGCTACAAGGCTTCAGAGGCTCATTAGCGCCAGCTGCTTATTACAGAGGGACAACAGGACTAAAGATGATACTCCTCAAATAGGGGCTCCCGTTGGATTGCCTTTTTCGCGGAAACTCGCATCAAGCATTTTGTGGGGGCTCCATTGTAGGTAGCACTATTTTTTTGACAAAGGATTCAACCCGGGACCGGGCTTCAGGCTCTTTCAGGGTTTCAGGCTGGGCCAAGCCCAAAAGAGGAAGCCTAGTTCAAGACATGTTGGCTGACTTGTCGGAGGAACTTTCAGACAGTCCAGCCGAGAATCCGCAGCAAGTTGCTCTCGCTAGTTGCTGGGGTAGTGTTCCTTTGGCTGTTGTCATCTCTTTTCTAAGCTGATCAACACGGGTTTGTTGTGGATATTCCTCGACTGAGCCGAGTTACTGCGACTTCTGTCCGTGTTTGCCGATTGCCGCCTAGGGAAAATGGCGTATTGCGCAGATCCCTCGGTCTGAGTTTCAGCTGCAAAAGCCAGCGCTCAGGCGGAGAGGCTGTTCCGGTTGGCGTGGCTGGGGCTGCAAAAGACCTTGGGCAACCAGCACGGCAACACACAGAGCGCGCGCTGGGGAGCCTATGGTCGCCCATTGGGGCGAGGGGAAAGGACAATTCAAGTTGCGGTCCGTGCGGAATTGGGGTATTTTTGAATTTCCTCAAGCTGAAAAGGAACCATTGCCATTCGGAGAGGGGACAAACAACTTTGTCATTGAGAGCACGACTTTCTGGGCTCAACCAGAGTGGTTGTCATCTCTGAGAATGACTCTGATACCGGAGTGAGTATTATCATTTGTTTGCTCAAGCAGAAGAACCTCATTCTTTCACCATGTGATGAATCCATGTGTGAATGTACGCGACTTTCTTTGTGCTGCATGACACACAGACAGTGATTGTGTGACTTGCTAAAAGCAGTCGCTCGAAGCTTGAAGCATCTTCAAGTTGCCCTGATGAGATAGCCCCCTCAAATCAATGTTTTTCTTTGTGGTTGGAGTCAACTTTCCGTGCTTAGCTGCAGATGTCTAGTTCAAAGGGCACAATTTGCTGACGTTTAATCTTGTTGTTGTGGTTGCGTGCTAGGCACCCTCGTTATAGTAGGTGATTGAATGACGCAGTATCAAGCCCCCCCCTTCCCCCGCCAGAGTCATAGGAAGCCGACAGACGGCGCATGAGCCACACTTGCTGTACGAATACACCCTGCTTAGCAAAGTTGTCAATAGGAATCATGGTGATCAACCTCTGGAGCAACGACCTATCGGTTGGCCCAGCTTGCGCCTTGGCCCTGGCACATGGTGTGTGCCGTGTCTCACAGCTGAGGCCAAAACTACGAAAACTTCCTGAAGGCAAGGGCCTTGGTGTAGACGTGTTGTGTTTTCCTGAAACAGAAGCTGGACAGATGCTGGGAGTCAGGTGTTGCCAATTGCTGTGTTGCATTTTGGGTTCAAGATTAAACTTTCGGGGATGCAGATGTTTTTGTGATTTACATGGGAAGGGATGAATCGTGAGTTGGTGTTCGATTGTTCGTCAACGGGTACTTTCGATTGGCAGGAAGAAGCGTTGAAGATTCAAGCTGGCAGAGCTGTCCACTCATGCCTCAGCTCCTAACCGCTGTGTCCAAACTACCACTTCAAACCATCCCTTGAAAGAACTTGAGAGCCATGAAGCGTGGACGTTTCTCGGCGAAGAACCCCACAGACCGCTTTTCAGCGTGGCCGCGATGGAAGACCCGTGCCGAGGTCAGGAAGCAGGCAGCTCGCGAGAAAAGCGCTATGCGTCGGCCAGCGGGTGGGGCGCCTCTCTTTTGGTTGCTGTCGCGAGGAAGCCAAAAGGAAACCAAAAGGAGTAGCACTCTTTTGTTTGTTGGGGTTCCGGCTCAGCCAACCTTGCTGTGTGGTATTATTTTGGATTGGTGGTTTTCCTATTGGGCAGCTTGGAGGAACCATTCCCATGTTTCAGGCGGGAAGGTGTTTGTGGTGCATGCACGTGTTCACATAACTAGCAGTTGTGTTTTCCTTTTTGTGAGGGCATAGCTGTGAAGGGAATTATTCAGTGGGCTGACATTGTTTTGAGCATGGTGTTCAAGTCAATGCTCGTGGCATTTCTTCCCAGTCGATGCGCAAAGGTGGCACATTTCAGTGGCAATGCAACCAGGCGCCGCTTGTTTTCGGTTGCCTGTGGCCTGAGCCACAGTCACAGCCCAACAGAAGGTCACAGCCTACGGCCCTCCGCAGCACTTGGGCTCAGTTCGCCCACGCGCATTATGGAGCAGGTCACCCCACTTCTCCCTGTGTGAATTGCAAGACGCCTGGCTTTTACTCGGTCGGTGTGTGAGTGTTTGCTATTGCACGTCTTATGATCATTGTACCAAGATGTTGGAGGGGATACCGGATACTCTCGTGGAAGAACAGAGGTTCTAACACGTTGAATTAGTTGCTCGGTAGAACTCCGTTTGAGGGACACGATCTAGCGAACAGTCACAGCAGAAACAGTACATTGACATGTACACGGGTCGAAGGAAATGACATATTTTTTCCTTCCTGAGCTGGATGATGCAAAGGGATCAGCCAGCAGGGGTCATTGGTTGGAAGCAGCAAGCCACCGTGGCATGTGTTCATGTTCTCTTCAAACACAAAACCTGCAAAGGTGTGCGACAACTCACAGACAACTCGGGGCAAGAGCCCCGCAATCTGTTGCCGGTTCCTGGATCACCGGACTCGTTATAGCGTCGTTATTTGAACGCAATGGCTGCCCGCAAGGGTCATCTTCCTTATTTTTGCCGGTCGTTGGATATGGATCAATCAAATGCACAACGTTGGCCAACCAGCCCAGGCATTTGTTCGTGATGTGAGTTGACGAGGGCGGCATATGTGAATGTATGGCCCTTGAATGAACCCTCAGGGGCCTATGGGATCTCATTGTGAGACATCCCTTCTCAGTGGATAGGTGCTGGCTTTCTGTCGTTTTACCTTGCCAATGCCTACATTGCTAGCTGTGGACTCCGGATGCATGTTGTCTTGCTGCACGGTATGTGTTTCTTGAATGCAGCAAGGTCGAATCAGGACCTGGGCAACGACAGAACACCGTGATTAAGTTACACACATAATTTATGGATTCCAATGCGCTGTTTTTTTTTGCGTTCCTCGGTCCCCTGTTGCTTGTCAAGAGGACTCTCCAGTCCCACTATCCCAGCTGCCACCCCTTTTGATGTGAAACAAGTTGCAAGCTGGTCTTTTCTGCAAGAGGTGCTCATGCTTAACGAGTCAAGCTAGGAAATGTTTGCTTCTTTCAGGGGAGAGGGTATTCCGCATTCGGAACGTGTCATGCGATTGATGCAAATATAATATGGTTTGAGGACAGCTTCGCCGAGCCAGAGTGAGATGAATAAACAGAGTCTGGGGATCACAGAAGGGATGGTCATGATCACTGTTGGATGCTATTTGGATAGTTTCTCTATTCGTTGTCAAATAACCATTGCCCTAACTAGCGGGTCAGAGGGCTCAGAGATCCCTTGCCCAGGAAACTTCCATATTTGCAAGATATCATTCGGCAAGGCTCGACGGGATTGGGAGATCTCGGGATCTGCATCGAAGGAAGTGCAAACCTTTCTGGGTGACCGCGCTTCCTGTTGAGGTCGGATTTTAGGGTACGCCCCCGTTGTACACCAACTAAATCCAAATTGCTTATCAGAACGAAAGGTCAGCAGCTGCGCTGCCGGTTGGGTTTACTGCCCGGCTAAGCACCTTCTGAGAGCACAGCCACTTCCGGACTTGCCACACATTGCCAAAAGCCAAATTCTTGGAAGAAGTAGTACAGTGTGCTGGCTTTCTCGCATGATGCAAGCTGCCTTTGGAGACTACTCGCCCATCGATGGTATGACCCTTTTGGTCTCATCAACTTGGCCATGCCTGAGCCAGGGTCCACATTTCGGATGCATCGAGGAGACAGGACCAAAAAACACGAAAGATGCTATTGACCGCAAAACAGGAGCCGTATGCAAACAGGATAAGCAATGGATTGACTCGTGGCCGTGGGCACTGCGAGAGTTCAGAAACGAGTGTGAGTTCAACGCATGTGAATATTGTTAAAATTGAACTGGTGATTCAATATTGCATCGCTTGTGCCATGAAAGCAGGCTGTCAACCTTGCCATTTCATCAGTGAATCAGGCCATTTCAAAGCTAATCAGGCAACGGCCATCGAATTCTTGAAGATACAAAGCCACAATGTTTGTTGATTGTACATTTAAAGATAAGACTCGCAAGCCAGATTCATACATGGCACTTGGCAATGTGCCTGACTCACAGTTTGAACCGCAATTCATAGTTTGGCCTGCAGCGCTCTCCGTGCTTCCTGTTTTGACGCGTTCTTTTGATGTTTGTTGGCGACCTAGTTTGAGTACGAGGTGTCCCGCCTTAAGCTCGTTTGATTGGTAGCTTGCTTTTTATTTGCACACGTGATGCATGCATTCTTGCATATCTCCCAAAACTCACTGTCACAATTAGTACGCATCACCGAAGATGTATGATAATGCCATTTTTCCTTAGCATGCCGGCGTCACGCCCTCCTGAGGATTCCTTTTTCAAAGCAGGCTGGAACAAATTCACAGAATGGCTGCACCCTCTTTGAATCGGCAATTACTGCCGAGGGCGATGAGCGAAAGCAATGAGTACGGCGCCTGCAAGAGGACTACTTTGTCCAAGGCCCGGGGTGGTACTTGCACTTCGAGGGAACGCAGCGTTGACACGGGACTGTTTCGCAACCACCCTTTGCGCACTTTCGGGAGTCGACCACACAAACATGTGTGCGTTGTTGTTTCTATGGCTCGCGCAGCCCTTTGCGTGCTTTCGGGGGGTCGACCTTCAACAAACTGCTGCTTTGCTTTTTCTCGTTGCGCAGCTGCCAACTTAACTGGTGAACTCTCCGCGGACTTCCCGGGGGCAGGGGGCATCAACCTTCCAAGACCCGCTGGTTCTTTGCGTTCTTGTGTACTTCCTGCGCCGTCAAATTGTGAACCATTTGCGCACTTTCAGGAGGTGAACCGTAAAAACTCGGTGTTTCTGGGCTTTTCTCTTCGCTCGCGGAGCCGTTTTTAGTTTCGCGGGGAGCGAGAGCGAGAGGGAGAGGGGACACGGGAAGAAAGGAAAAACGAGACAGAGAAAGTGACACAGAAAGAGAAGGAGAGAAGCAAACAGAACGAGAAAGAGGAAGAGAACAAGAAAGATGAAAGAGAAGGAGAAGGGCAAGAGAAAGCGAAAGGAAAAGGGAAAGGGAAGGGAAAGGGAAACAGAACGGGGAGGAGGAGAAAGAGAAGAAGAGAGAGAGAGAGAGAGTTTGAGAGTTGGAAAAGAAGCGGCTCAAAATTCTTTGTCTCATATATTTTCAACTTCCGCCCCTCGGCTTCGCCGGCTATACTGATATTGGTCATAGCGCTACTGCTATTGGCACCAGTTGCTTTTCGTTCTGCTTCAGTTTTGCCGGTTGCTGACTGCTGCTTGTGGTTCCTGATTGTTCATAGCTACGTGCTGCTTTGAGTGGACCTGTCCAAGTGACGATGCTGATGTACTCGTTGTGGCTGCCATGTGTGCATCGCTTCTGTTGTTTTGGTGATGGTGGTGGTCGCCGTCGTCGTCGCTGCCCCCGTCGTCGTGGTGGGGGCAGGGGTGTGCTGGTCGTGTGTGTGTGTGTGTGTGTGTGTGTTTGTGTTTGTGTGTTTTTGTGTGTGTGCGTGTGTGTGTTTGTGTGTGTGTGTGTGTGTGTGTGTGTGTGTGTGTGTGTGTGTGTGTGTGTGTGTGTGTGTGTGTGTGTGTGTGTTGTGTGTGTTGTGTGTTTGTGTGTGTGTGTGTGTTTGTGTGTTTGTGTGTGTTGTGTGTTTGTGTGTTTGTGTGTTTGTGTGTGTGTGTGTGTGTTGTGTGTGTTGTGTGTGTGTGTGTGTGTTGTGTGTGTGTGTGTGTGTGTTGTGTGTGTTGTGTGTGTTGTGTGTGTTTGTGTGTTTGTGTGTTTGTGTGTTTGTGTGTTTGTGTGTTTGTGTGTTTGTGTGTTTGTGTGTTTGTGTGTTTGTGTGTTTGTGTGTTTGTTGTGTGTGTTGTGTGTTTGTGTGTTTGTGTGTTTGTGTGTTTGTGTGTTTGTGTGTTTGTGTGTTTGTGTGTTTGTGTGTTTGTGTGTTTGTGTGTTTGTGCGTTTGTGCGTTTGTGTGTTTGTGTGTTTGTGTGTTTGTGTGTTTGTGTGTTTGTGTGTTTGTGTGTTTGTGTGTGTGTTTGTGTTTGTGTGCCTGTGTGTGGGTATTGGTTGTGGCGGTGGTGGTGCTGGTGGTGGTGCAGGCGGTGGTGCTGGTGGTGGTGCTGGTGGTGGTGGTGCCGGTGGTGGTGGTGGCGTTGGTGGTGATGGTGGTGTTGCTGTTGGTGCAGGTGAAGGTAGTCGCAGCGGTAGCGGCCATGGTACTTAAAAGGAGCTGTTCGGAGATTTGGGATTTTCTGGCTTGACCAGTATTCAAAGCATTTCAAAGCAACAGTGTCTGGACTTGTTAGTCAATGGCAACACGTCAATAATCAGTCACAGCTGCCTTACGAGGTAAATTAATCTACACCATCCAAGCCGTAGACACTGAATGGCCTGTGCAAGCATTGGTCGCGCATCCCGCCCCAGGAGAGTCAAGCGCGCTTGCCGCGACCTGAGATTTATACTGGGCTTGGTGCCCCTGGTGTTGTTGGTGCAGGTCAAACCAAACCGATTGCAAGTGCACGTTTGGCAGACATGAGTCAAAGAAGTGCTGTTGGCCATCCCATCATCCCTTCAATGAGGGTGTTGAAGCTTTACCAACTGTTTCCATGCCCAACATGCCAGATAGTTTCTGTTCAGTTCCATTTGCTTTCCAGTGTCAGTAGTGGCTTGCTTGGATTGACGAAAGCACGCACGCAAGTCTGCCAGGATAGCGGATATGGCTGAACGAGAGAAGTGTCAGAAGGAAACGAAGTCGACGACAAACTCGAACAAGGGACTGTTCGCAGAATGTTCACACTAAAGGGCAGTGCAGTCCTTGATGTTTGCGTTTGCCTGTCACTTGTCCCAAGCCAACTTCAAATCTGTTGGTGTCCTAGTCGGTTCCTTATGGAGTGGTTCCAGTTCTATTGGGCTGAGGATGGTGCATGGCCCGATCTTCGTGGAGAACCCTGATGGTTCCATCACGGAGGCGCGACGTGTGGCTTGCGCTGCGGCATGATGGGCCTTTGGCCTTGTTGCTACAGAAATGGTGCCCTGGTCATCCCTGTGATTCAGGCTTTCAGCCATCATGATAGGATCTTTGTGTGAGAGTATGATGGATTCATGATTGAGATGTGTTGATACTTCCCTGCGATTCATGATCGAGATGTGTTGATACTTCCCTGCAAAATCGCACGTTTGCACATATACATCCACAAATATTCACATGCAGACATGCTTCCATGCATCCATCCAGCCACCTATCCATCAGCGGATCCATATTACACATACGCATTCATACGCATGTACATGTCATACAGATACGCGCCTAGCCGGGGCCGCGAAAGCTCCGTGATGGAGGTCTCGTTTGTTTGTTTTTTTTCCTCGAAGAATGAATATACAGCATGTGTCTATACAGAGACATACACATGCATAGACATACCTGTATGCAGCATATATACACACACGCACACAGATGATACAAAAACACGCTCATGCATCCAAACCCAGATACGTCTACATACATGCTAATGCGTCGACATACGAGCTTACATAGATAGCTCATTTACACATGTGCAGTACCCAACAATAGCTCCGTTACATTTCGCGTACTACATACGCTTTATGTATCATGAACACGTACAGAGCATTACATCATTGTACTATGCGTTATATAAGTAGGCGCGCTTACAAACGTGCCAATTTATTTCAGACGCAGATCCTCTAGTCAAAGCCTTGACAGCAGTCGTCGGGCAATGAGTTACTTGCTGCGAGAAGGAGGCATGATGACAACATTGCGCATGAGTATCGAGTTATTTTCCTTGAATGCCGGGAGTGCAATGCGCACCGTTTGTAGCGCCAGTTGCGCGTAGGCGGTGCCATCGGATGCCAAGCAAGCGCGGCCTGGAGCTCGGATTCAACTCACAGGGCAGATGCATCTTCTCCTTCCGTTTGATGCACCTCTTCTAGCTCGAACATCTTTGCCAAAAGAAGCACCGCAATAAAGTGGTCTTTTTCGCGGCTGTTCGAGTGGATGTGTCAACCCTCGTGGTCCGGTTTCTTTGAATGGCCATCAAGGAGGACTGCTTTTTGTTCCCGGTCAGTTTTGCAACACACGCTTTGACAAGTCTATTTGGTTTGGATATGGTCTAAGTACTGTTATGTTAAGTCCTCATAGCTTCCGCAAGTATTCTGCAGCGAGCACACCCGTTTGCATTTCAGGTTCTCAACTTCTTAAAGAACACTCTCCCCGTTGAAGTTTGTCCAATCAGCTTCAATTGACAATTGACCAGACCGAACTAGTTTTTCTCATCTCACGAAGCACATGTCAAAAGACAAACCGCGGCCACTTTTGCCTGCCATGTTGGCGCCATTCTGCGGCACAGCCGTCGCACGAAGCCTAAGGTTGAAATCCGAGCGGCGTCGGGAGTCGCGGGCTCGGGAAGACGAACCATTGAGCTCAAGAGGGACGGTCATGAACCCTTTAGCGGCGAGTGTGACGCCTTCAGGTACCAAGCAAGCAGTCTGGCCATATTCCATCTTGGCGGTTATATATACAATTCCAATTTGGCAATGGCTGCTCGCAACCCACCATTGCCACTTAATCGCATAGTCCCTTGTGAGTGGGCAGGTTGGGGGCACCTAGTGTAGCCATGATAGCAGATCATCACTTCGGCGATGCCAGGTACAGCCATGGCACCACGGGGGTTACTTCAGGCATTCCAATCCAGAGATAGAGAGGAATTCTGCCCGTGGAGTTCGTTGTAGTTTTGGGCACATGTTTTCGAACTGGGGTTGGTTATGACTAACTTGAGGATGCTGATCCAAGTAGTGTAGCCATTCAGGCATGTACTGTGTACTTGCCTTTTGCCCTCACCCTTTATGGGTAGTGGGCAATTAAGGCAAGTAAGGCAGTGTGGCATGATCCTGTTGTTTTCTTGGACCTCCCAGGAAATGTTTAGCAATATCTCGTGGTCGCTTCACCTTTTTCTGGAAAGTGTTCGTCTGTGGCACGGTTGACATGCCTGAGATTTGCATTCAAACATGTGGTCTAGAGCGCATTGTGCTAACCTGCTCAATGATGGTGGTCAGTATTCATCAAACGAGGCATCAATCATGAACGCATTTGCGACACCTAGAAAACTCTTCTTGCACAGAGTGAGTTCAGTCTCACATGGGACCTTTAGACAATTCCAAGAAACATGTGGGCATGTCTCTGAGTTGGTGGTACGGCTGCAAGACTCTTTGCAAGCTGTGATGGTGTTCTCGCGCAACCAAGCACTGCCCGGCAAAAAACAAGCTCGTACAGTACTGCGGCTGTGGCGCTACATGTTTCTTTGAACACGTTCGGCAGTACATCAAGTACAAGCACTCATTGGTGCAGCCACAACTGGTTTTGCGCGCCAACGGGCTTCTGGTTGATTGGCCTTGTCAAGAGACCCCTGCTGTCAGGGAAGTCCTTTCCTTCGCGGAAACCAGCGCTATGTTTGGGGAAGAAAGCTGCAGTGGCGGGTTCTACAGGGCCCTTCTCTCTTGCATCATGGCGTAAGATTCGGGCTAGTCACATCAACCATGTCCAATACCCCAGTTGCCCAGTGGTGCCCTTCTCCTTCTTTTTTTTTGGAAGGGTTCCCTTTAAACGCAACCGACCAGGAAAATGATGCCCTTTTCCCCCCTGGCCACTGGGCACTTTTTTCCCCCTGGCTGTTGCTGCTTTTGGGGCCTGGCCCCCCCCATTTAACAAGAAAACCCCGCGTACTTAGTTGCACGGAGCGAGTTGCAAAGACAAAGACTGGGCATCTGAGATACAATTGTATGGCAACATGACTAGCTTCATGATGGTTCTGTTATCAAGGGCATATCTTTTGTCCAACGGGACACTTAGGGTCTCAAGCCGATAGGCGGGCCCTCAAAAGAAGCACTCGTGCCCGCAGCCAACCTGTCGGGTTGCTCCCTTGTGAAGCCGAGCAAGAGTCGAAATGCCCGGAAAACCAACACAGAAGCACACATTGGCGGGGTGGGGGGGGGGGGTGGGGGGTCGAATTTCTGAGCGCATGTCCCAAGTGATAAGAAGAGTTCTTGGCTCCAGCAACCTCTCTGGGAGAGGAATTAAAACTACACCCGTTGGGCTTTAATAAGATCCCAATTGGATTGGTTCCGCCTTTTTCAGGAACAGCAACGACGGGGACAGCGACAGCAGTGGCACCGGCTCCAACGCCACAGGCATCAGCATGACGCAGGAGGCGATTCGGGACCGTACGAAAATGTGAGAAGTGTCCCAATCCGCTTGACAGTTGGTTGATATATATATATATATATATATATATATGGGAGTCGTTCTAAAGGTCCTTGTAAGGAGTTTAGTATTCGGTGACCATCGGTGTTGGTTGAGGTAGCTCCGCGAAAGATTCGCGATGGAGTTGCGAAAGTAACTTTTTTTCTCGCGAAAGTTTTGCGTAACTGTGTCTTGTAAATCAATGATACCCAGGGAGTCCAAAGGCCTGAGTTACGGAGGCCGTTTAACCACGGAGGTTTACGGGGTGTTTACGGCTGTTGACAAAAGGCCTAAGTTACTCAGGCCGAGGAAGCTCTGGGATATGTGAAACCATTCATCTTTGCTGCTGAGCCTTCCTTCTGCGCTGATTTCAACACTTTGTTGATTTTGCGCCGAAAAAGCAGGCTACAGTTTGATACCCTGCTTGGCTGGTTAGTGCTAGTGCCCCAAGCCTGTGTATGCGTGCCTGTGGGTGTTTACTCGGCGCCTTTCCGCTCTGAAACGTGGGTGGTTTTTCGCGAAAGTTCCGTGAAAGATCCGCGAAAGCCCCTGCGAAAGCGGCTTCGATTGTAAGGGGGAGGTACTTTCTGAGCGCCGTGCTTGTCAGTATACCAGCTTGGTGCTGGAAAGTTGCGACTTTAAGCTGGAGCTGCACAGCTTACGAAAAGCTGCGTCTTTCCAGCCCGTGCATGTCACTGTGATGAAAGTTGCGACTTTACAGTGGGAGTTGGGGAATCGCATTTCGCGCACTACGCTGGCACTTAAAATCAGTGATTTTCTGGCGATGAATCCGCGAAGGATTCGCGAAAGTAACTTTTTTATTCGCGAAGAATGGCCGTTTCGAGACAAAGGAATTTAGAACAACCGCCATATATGTTTAATGGTTATTACTAGCAATATCATCGTGTTTTTTCCCGAGGGTTGCTTTCAACTATCCCGACTCCAGGATTCTATGAGAACAGGGGACACCCAAAATTGGGGCCTTCCGTTGGGTTTCGAACTTGGGGCCAAGCTCAGAGGGTAGCCTCAACAAAGAAGCACGCGCCCAAGCCAAAGGGGCACGGGCTCATTTACTGTACAGAATAGGCAACCAGATAGATCGGATTCTGGGCTGTATTTTTGGCGCGCTGAGGAAACAGGGCACTTTGAGGGGTTCCAAGTTTTCGAAACATTCGGTCAAAAGGTAACTAAGGTAACTGTTCAGGGACTTGTCATCCTTGAATTTAATCCCGGAGCTTGATTCACAAGTACAGCCCTCTCAAGTTATTGTAACCAAAAGCTTCTGGATAAATTCTAGCATGTGCGTGCATTCCATTGCGTCCAATGGAAGGGGTGGCATTCAAATTCAGCCAAGCCGAGGGTTCAGGCAAGCCCATTCTTATCAACCTGGGATCTGATGAGTTCCTCACGTTCTGAAAAACGACGGAGCTCATAGACCACCGGCACACATCACCAGAGGATCCACAGTCCGGAGGGTTTCAGAAAATAGACATCCTGCACCAAATCAAATAGGCATTGTCCAAGGGTGATGAAAAAGGGAAGGGTGCAGGGACACGAATCACCCAATGTGATTTGATCTTGCAAGGGCTTAGATTACTTTCTTGGGCTCAGGACGAGTTTCTTCTGCCTCCCCTTGAGGGGGCAGCCGAGGAGAATCTGTGGTACCCGACCAAGCATCAGTCGACCGACTGGCCAATGCTGGATCAATTGCCTGACCTGTCTTTGTACCCTTCCTGTTCTTTCGAATACACAGACTGGGCACCCCACGCAGGTGGAGTTCCTGTACTCGCGCCACGAGAGAGTCTTCATGCTGTTGCTCTTCATCCAATTCCTGCTGGAGGCGCACATTTTCAGGGGGGCGACTTGCTGGTGGCTGGGAGCAAACTGGCCTTGGTACCACAGTTCGAGGCCCGTTGTGCGAAACGCACATCAAGTGCCAACACAGCACGCGCACAGCCAGCATTCCACCGAGCCACAAGTTCAAGACGAGCCATTGGAGCCATTCTTCCACTCATGGGCTTAGCTGCAATTCTTTACGGATGCATTTCAGTGCAAAGAAAGACACATTGGAAGCACTTCCGACTATAAGCTCATGATTGGGCGTGCTTTTTCCTCTGTCAGCAAGTTGTGATCGGGATGTCATACCGGCTGTGGACTGTGCGAATCTAGCAACATTGCTTGTAGCAGAAGGCTGAAGCTCTGCTGGTACTCATCATGCATACCAGAATCATACCTCCGAACCATACCCCAAATTTTACCTCTTTCACAACAAAAGGTACTACTACTCCTACTACTACTACTACTGCTACTGCTACTGCTACTGCTACTGCTACTGCTACTGCTACTGCTACTGCTACTGCTACTCCTACTACTACTACTACTACTACTACTACTACTACTACTACCGCGACTGCGACTGCGACCGCGACTGCGACTGCGACTGCGACTGCGACTACACCCCGAATCATACGCGAACCATGCGTCGAACCATAGCTTTTAAACTAGCAACATGTTCCACCAACGGCAGATCGTCAGCGCAGCTAATGTTGCAACAGGAGTTTCAGTACCTGCGACCCATACCCCGAATCATTCCCTCGAATCATACCCGTGAATCATACGTCGCATCCAAAATTCCCGGTCCGCGCGCCTTATTTTGACACAATATGGTGCATTCAACGTATATCACCAAGCTTACACTTCGGTAAGGAAAACAGGCTGCACAAGCCCAATACTTGCTTTACACATGGCCTGCAGCCGCGATTACATTTGGAAATAGTACACGAAAAGATGCAATGCCGACCTGGAGCCTCAAGCCGACCAAAGTGCGGTTTGTTTGATTTTACACAAACTTACGGGCAAACATGCGGCCGAGCCCTGACATCAGCTGCATGTTGTTTGGGCGCACGCCAGTCCGAAGTATGTTACATGTACCGAATGGCAACTTTAGCTTATTATGTCCATCTGAGCAACAGGCTAAACTCTCCGTTACTTCTTTATGCATTCGGGCGATTTAGCGTGAGGAAGTCTATCGAAACCTTGTAGAACGATATAGGGAACCCCCAAAAACGATAAAACATGCTTTCATAATGTGGCAGACGATGCTTGGAGCGTCTCGCGTTTGGCAGTTTTTTTTTGTGGCCCGGAATCCCAGCCATCATGTCTGCGCCTCCTGACGCGCCCAGCGTATGTGAGATCGGGCTCTGCGGCCACGCAATGCTGTTTGTTCCGCGAACGTTGGCAAAAACATACCTGCCCAAAACGATAACCGAAACGATAACAAAACGATAAGCAGTTCATTCGGAAAATCGTCTTCGTGAGCAGTTGCCCATACCGGTAGACTCGTGCGCACAGTTTCGATGTCTCCCGCCATGAGTGATGAGGAGGCTCTCAAGCGTTTGCGAAAGGAGGTTTTCAAGGACTCCGATATGCTGGAAGCAGTGCCATCTGGAAACTCACGCTTTCCCGTACGCATCTCCAACTGCCTCTTGAAACGGTTGCTCTAAATCAAACGAATGAAGTCATGAGGAAGCACCATGCCCAGCTGCGCAAGTTTCGCGGCACCTTGAAAGGCACTAAATCCTGACTTTCGACCAAATGGTCACTCGCGATGAAGCCCGCTTGGTCAAGGCAAATGCCCGGAGTAAGCGGAAACATGCAGCTGCTTTGTCTGCTGACCCAATGGAAGAGTCTGAAACAGAGCTGTGAAGCCAATGTGCCGTGACAATAAAACGCCAGTGCGCGCTCTCCATGTGCCAGAAACCTGCAAAACGATATATAGGGAACCCCCAAGAACGATAAGAATGAGTCCTAAATCACTTCTGTGCATTTAGGTTTTGCCGCTCGCTCATCTGAGCTTCTTAGGCGAAGCAGAGACTTGCGCAAGCTTCAGCTCGGCAGGACGCAGGAAGAATTGATTGCTGTTCATGTGTTGCTCTATGCCCATCATATCACATAGTAAGCATATGATGTGACATGATCTGATAGGCTAAGGTGTGGTGTGGTATGATATGATATGAGTCCGTCTGATTTGATATGATACCAAATTGTATGGTGTGATATGATGTGACACAATATGATACCCCTCATGGCAGTGATGACACATCGTTCGTGGATCGTCGCCGTGGTATGCCGCGATTGCAGTCCCTCTACGCTGCAGTCTTCGTGGTGCGCATGCGCCCGCGGGGATGCCCACTGTCGATTGATGCAAAGGCGTTAAAAGGTTAAGGTCCTTAATTGTTGCCTTTGGGTCTCCTTTACCGGAAGACGTGAAAGGGAGTCGGGGATCATTCCCCCACCTTGGTTTTGAGACGTCCCGGTTGGTTTGTCTCAAAATGCATGGCTTAAGTCTGATTTCGTATTGCAAGAAGACACTCCGCAGAGGCACAGCAACATTTTTTTTGGAACTTGCGGGTTGATTTGTGACATAACACGTGTCTTAAGCTAGGGGCGAGTAAAAACGTGGGACTCAACACACTGATCAGCTGGAGGGGTCCCTTTTGCGGCCATGTGATTCGAATGTTTTCTGTACTCGGTGGGCTTTCAGAGATCGGTATGCACAAGACTGCTGTTTTGTCACCGCCAAAGGCAAACAGGTTCACTTCTGCTTTGGCAGAACTTGGCCGTTCGCAAGCTCATTCAGCCTCCAACCTCGGATGTGCAAGGAAGGCTCGGAGAGTTAATCAGTTTCGCGGGTTCGTGCATTGGGCCTCTTCGGTGCGGGCTGGGGCCTTACGGCCTTGCTTCAGGTCCATGTTCGAGCTGGAGGCCATGTACAACTGGGAAATCTCCCCCAGGACGGCGGAGGCCGGATTTGAAATCTTCCACAGCACAAGTCGGGTTGCGTCTTTTATGTCCGAGTTTCGCAACGCCGAAGTGGGTCAACCGGGTCAACCGGCAAGCTGTGGTATCAAGCCCGTTGCACAACCTGCTGGTTGGCGGGTGCAGCTTGTCTCATTTGTTTGTTGTGACGGGTCCTCATTGCAGTCGAGCGGAGTTTGCTTGAGCCATACGCTGTTTGTCACTTGACTTGGTTGGGAGATGGTCATTGAGTTTTTGGGAATCTGAGACCACAAATCATGTTATGGTCATAGCCTTCATATAGTTTGTTTTCCATGGTTTCCTATGGTGTGTGACTTTTTCTGACTTGCACAGTGCAGGCTGCAGACGGCCGGGTGGTTGGCGAGTGACCACCATTTCGCCGATGCATGGTGTGTTTCAAGTTCCTTGCAGCTGCGGGCGAAACATCGAGCCCAGGTGATTCTGTGGACAACGCTAGTGATCCAGGCCAGTGCTGACCGGGCGAGCTGCGAGACAAGAAGTGGGTTTTTGTTTCGATAGCTTTTCTTGAAATGTCGGCATATGTCGGGGCTTTCTGTTTCCAGGAGCTTTGGGCAACTTGTTCCTGAGGTTGTATTTAAGCTGTGCTTGTTACTGCAAGCCTTCCATGTTTGGGCCACACATTGAATCGCATGACAGGCTTGAACCTTGAAGAACTGTGGTGTGTGTGAAGGCTTTACTCCGCCAACTGTTGATGTGTCATTTGACGCTGCTGTCGAGCCCTTTGCGTGTCCCGCAAGTTGTTGCACTCAAGATGTTTGATTGGATTCATGCCAAATTGGCCAACAGTGTGGACTGTCCTGTTGCATTTGCACATTCACCCCGATTTTTGTTGATATGGCACGAGCATTGCATTGGGCACTTGTCTTGTGGTTGGAAGAGACCTGCGATCCCCCGGCAAGGCAAGCTTTCTACTTGTTTCCATCCTACGGTAGATTACTGGTGATCGGGGCAGGGGGGGTAGGTGGCAATTGTGATCAGCATTGACGATTATTTCGTCATTTGGACAACCAGGGAGATCCTTCTGCACTCTATTCAATATGTCCAACACATCAGAGGTGAGTTGGTGAAAGCAAAATGCACAGCGTTTGTTGGATTCTACTTGTAGCTCCCACTTTGCGCATGGGCTAGGGGCTAAACAGACGCGACGTCCGCCAAAAGGGCAGCCAGGGCCGGGTCCAGCCTGCCCCTATTTAGGAAAGAGCAAGATGATTCGCACACGGGATGGATACCTTGACGGTTGAGAGATGGGTGCTGCTCAAAGCGAAGCTTGGAGCGTTTTTTGGGCGAAAGTTTCGGGACTGCTCGTACCTCGTTTCGCTTGGTTTCCTCCTGCGCCACAAGCTTCCGGTTCTGAGACTTTACCATATCGGATCTCAAGGCACTGTCTGGCCGCGCCCGCAACAGCTGCCAGGTGCTCTTCGGAGTACTGTACTACTTCATGGCCGCCTTGGCCATTTGGACCAAGAGGCGGTGGGATGGCTGATGGGTTGGAGACATGCTCAACCCCTGACTTGCTTGTCCATGGCTGAATGTTATTTGAATTACGCAAGGCACCCAGTATTCGCAACTAGTGCGTTGATCCCAGATTATCACATTACCGGGAAGAGTCAGCAAACCATGGAGAAATGCACTTGCGACAGTTTACATTGTGCCGCGAAGAAAAGCTGCTTTGTATGGCCACGGGGCATTTGTGGGGGTGTTGTGGCGGAGTTGAGGGTGGCAAATGATGCTGTCCCATGATGAAGGCCCTTTTTGCAGATCCTTCAGGTCAGCTGTATGTCAATGTCAGTTTGCTGAACATGAATATCCGCGAAATGCGTATGTTCATGATTTTGTAATTTGTGCATGTCTAATATGCGTATTTTCTTCCACATGCAGAAGCGCGACCGACTGACTAATCAACGGATTACTATGTACCCTATCCGATGCGGTCAGCATTTAGGACGGCCCAAGAAGTTGCGAGTCCTTGTATCACAAGACTGCCCGCAAAATATCGTGATGAGAACAAGGTAATGCTACAGCAAATCATGCGGAACAAGATGATATGAGAACGAGCCGCTCGCAGATGTCTTGGCAGAAACATGTTAAAACAAAAGACATGTTTCGATTTACTTGTATCGCAAGCTGCGGTTTGCGTGCTGGAGCTGCCAACATGCAATAGGCGTACTGCACTTGCACTGCAAAGGTGAGATGTCCGGGTTGTTGTGGTCCCGTTGTGATGGGTCTTTTGCCGTGAAACGAGTCAGCCTGTCAGCCAAGTACCAGACGAGACCAACCGTTTTTGTGGCGTTGCAGCAAGCATGTCACTATATATATATATATTTACATATGCACCATACTACATGTATATAACATGCAAACACATGTGCAATTCTGCTGTGTTTTCCGCCTATGTGTTTTCTTCCGGGCAACCGCTGCGCGAGGCCAAAACATTTTCAGATATTTGCGAAGACTTGCCTTTGCGGCGCACCTCGGCAGCGCAGCTTACGGGCCACTCATAGGTTTCAGCGACACCAGGGGGTTGGTAGGAAGGGTGTTGCCCAAGCATGGACTTTAGAAAGGCATTCCGAGAGTTGCTTTTCAGGTAACGGTGACCATTGAAATACGGCGCCTACCATTCTTGCAAGAATAGACACGCAGAGAAGAAGTCAAATACTTTCCCTAGGCCTTTACTTTGTGTCCTGAAGCATCTGGCAACATGATTCTTCGTCTGAGGATAGGTCGTGTCCAGTTCCAACAAGCTGAGTCCTTTTTTATGCGAGTTGGTGGCCGTGTAGCGGATAGGGTTCAGTTGGTACTACGAGACTGGCCCGTGTTCCTTTGTCAACACAGGAATGTGCATAAATGATCGAAGGGTTCCTCAAACTGCCAAACCCTTGAGCCTTGACCCGAACGGTGCGACCGATGTGTCGCCAAACTGTTTGGAGATGGCATTGGAAGACAAGCATATCATTGGCATGAATGTTTCTGTGTCCGCCTCTTAGAACAGAGAGGAAGACCCGGTATTGCCATGTTTTGAGTTGTCCAGACACCAATGCTTCAACGGTAGCATGCACGCAAATTCATCAACGCATGGTGGGTTTTACAGGCACCGTCCTTCGCAGCGCGACATGGCTTCACGTGTTGACTTGCGCTTTCCTATGAATCAACCAGGGTTTCAAGGCCATATTTTGAGACCCAACGGGCATGAATGTAGAGTTACTGAGCTGATCTGGGCGGTGAACACCGGCTTTTATTCAGGGATGTGCACAGATTGGCGCGGGGTAGCCGTCATACGCGCATGGCAATGATGCCTCATTCGAAGCTCCGTTCGGACTTTGCAACTTGAGGTGGTGGGCCTCGTGCTGTTGGCCTACGCCGACAAGTTCAACTTGCCCATCTTCTTCTTGCGCTTGCTGGCCTACATCTACGCCAGGCCATTCAAATTTTCGAAGTTTGAGCGAGAAGGCTCAGGCATGGAAATGCGCCTCAAATGGAGCCTCCTTGTTTTGGTCGCTTGGAGCTTCATATCGAAGCCATCCACCAATTTCCACAAGCAGGTCCGGTTTGAAGCACATTCAAAGGGACTTGCGTAAGTCTGCCAGATCGGCGCTGTTTGCCGAGGGGACGGAAGCAACAGATAATCTATGTGTGGGAACTTGCATGTTTCGGGTATGTTGGACACACACGCAGATTATGGTAACATGGAGGCAACATCCTCGGAACAAATCGCGGAGAGCCTCGGATCTGTTCGTCTGATCGAATCTGGTCAGACTACGGTTGTGACCTGCGGTGTAGGCTAAGTCAAGGGAGGCTCACAACCAAAAAAAGATTTGGGCATGATTTGATTGCGATTGGCATCTATGGCTTTAGTTGTTGTTTACTGTTACACCTTCTTGCTTCTTGTACGCGTATCCCGGGGGTTCTCGGAAAAGGAAATTGGTGAGTCCGGGAATTCATTGAAAACGAACAGAAAGTAGATGTAGCCATCGTCAATAGTTTGTAAACATACACGATTATTTTAGGAATGATGTATGATTGATGTTTGTTTCCCATTTAGTGTTTTGCTTCTACACTCCCTGCCTTTAGGTGGGAGAACTTTACGCTTTTCGCAGGAGGGGGCTTTAACGTGTAACTAGCAAGCTAAATTCATCATACATGTTGCGGAAATCATAAATGTGCATTGTAAAAGAGAGACGTACTGAAACTTGCAAAACAGAGCAGAATCAGGCAAACGCCAGCTGGGCTTCCAGCGCGGGTCACAAGACTACAGTTGTCTGAAAGATCACAGAGTAAGATGTTCTATTCTTGGGACAGTCTTGCAGAGGCCGGCAGGTCTGCGCCTTCGTAAATCAAAGTGTCCCCCCTCCCAAGAAAAAGACGCGCCGGCCCCCTTGCCGCGGCATGCCGGCGCCAGGTTCTTGCAGGGGCTCACGGCCAGCATCTTGTTGTTGCTGCGGCCCCGGAAGGTGGCGACGGTTGCCCAAGTTGACGAAGTTGTGCCAATGAGAAAGCGAGAGAGGGCTTCTTGAAGGGTCAGGGACTTGGGTGATGTGAGGCGACCGGTTACAGCTTGTATGGTTCTTAATGCAAGCGGAACTCCAACATTCGTGGGGAGGGTTGTTGTGCGACTACACACCTCTCGGTTGCGTTCCAAGCTCTTTGCCCGCCTGCGACCCCAAGCGTTTGATCCTGAATGAGCAATGAGTTCCACAACCAGTTTGAAAAGGAACTCCCTGATAAACGCAGGAGTATACAGACAGTTGGCCAAGGCCTCATGTCAAGTCTAAGCTTGACAATTGCTGCTGCGGTTGCTGTTGCTTGCTGACATCGCCTGGTGCGTCGTGGTCGTTCTGCGATGTTGTTTCTTCTTGTGCGTGTTTGCCCTTTTGGCACCTGACTTGGCAGCCCAGAGCTCACGAGGCCGCCACGGCGGGAACGCACCGCGAATGCCTGAAGTGCACCAATGGCAGGCCGGGCGCAGGGGTATGATTGTGTTGGACTGGGTGCAAGCGATCATTTTCCCAGGCGATGTGACTCTCAGTGAAGCAAATTGCAAGCTTTGGGAAATAGGGCTAGGATTTAGGCTTAGTAATAAGAACGAATTCTCGCAAGCGAAGTAGAATTAAACAGTTGCTTGTCAGTTGGTGTGTTGATTTGCCGCATGTTTCACTTGCCACTTGGTTTTGGGACGACATGTGATCATGGACTGCAAGAGCTCAACGTCGGCAGAAGGAAGCCGTGAGTAGACCAGGACCATCAGGGCCAACATGCTGAGACTGACCTCTCTTTGAACGAGTTGCTCTCGCTGCTGCCCGAAACCTTGTCGTAGGGCTTGGAGCAAGCAGCAACAAGAGGTCTTTAGGAGATAGATAGTTCCCAACATTTGGTCGGTTCAATATTGAAACACGTTTGCTTATACATTTTGTTTAGATGAGTACAAGGTTGTCCCTGTGAGATTGAAGCTGTATATTGTTTGTGAAACGAGGTTCCTGCTGATGCACTTTTGCCCGTTTGACAGCCCCACTGTTGTGTTTGTTGTCCGCAAAGCAGACGTATGTTCAAGAATATGTGCGTTGCTCAACAACAATCCCACAGAGGTTGGCCTGTGGATAGTTAGAAAGGTAGTCAATAGATACTGCAGACACTTTGGGGAGAAGAGCTTATCAGACGTTAATGACGTGTTTGTGCGAAAGCTCGTGCGGAAGCTTGTCTTGAATCATTTTGAAGCCAGCTTCGGGCATGTTTCGAGCACGGCCCAAACCCCTTCGGGAAGCAATTGAATCACCCAGCGACCAACAAGCATTACATACGCCGTGCTGTCTGTGTGTGTGTGTGCGCGTGCCATCAACATCTTCACACACAGCAGACACAGACACACACTGCACAAAGACAGGCAACACATTGTGGAAGCGCGCTGCAAGCCCACTGACACTGACCCCACCGCCAACCCCGGGGGTATCTTAGCACTGGTCCTTCTAATCTGTTTACCTCAACTATGATTTCTTTCCTCGGAATGACAAATCATTTTCTGGAAGATGATTAGGGTTAAGGGTTTCCGTTTCGATCCTCGTCAAAATGCCCCCCCTTGCGCGGAACAAAATCTTCCAAATCGCAACTTACGGAGTAAGCATTACAATGATTTCGCTCGAGCTTGTGGGATGTGTGTGGGTGTGTGTCCAAGGTTGAAAGGGAGTCACGAAACTACCATCCAACATATGAACTCGGACTGACATTCAAACTGTTTCGGAGAACTGCCTAACACGACTGTAGCATGGGTCCGACGGAAGTTTGCGTACAACGTGGGTGTTTCGCATTTGGAAAAGGAACTATTATCAATAGGATGCATTTCTCTTAAGGATGTCTCCAGGTTGATCCTGCAATTCTCTTGTACCAACTTCAACATGAAATGCCAGTGGCACCCCTTCCCTTTGCCCATCTATTTGATGGCTTCCCGGTGTACCGTGGAGAGTCTTTGGGACTTGAAGTGTTTTGGCCACATTGCTCACAATGTCTTGCCTGCGAGTCAGCTGGGTGGCTCTGAAGCACAGGTTGCAGAGAGGTTTTCAGGGGTCCCACAGTTGGACAAAAAGCTGAGGGATAAAGAAGCAGTCCTTTTGAGCAGTCCGTTCCTTCCAGCGTGTTTCAGCAGCACCCGATGCGAATTGGGAACTGCGCAGGGGCATGCGCAAGGGCAATTCCTCCCAGTGAGAGCTGTGGCTCAGCTTAGCGTTTCACGTCTCTCTGACGGCTCCGGGAGAAGCTGTGTTGGCATTCGCCGAAAACGCTGAGCTTGTATGCCTTGTTTTCGGTGGTAAGCTCTTCACCTGTGGGTCCACTGAACATGAGGTTTTGCATGGTTTTGATGTCGGGAACCTGCTTGGTGGTCTGTATGGCTGCAAGTTTATCCTTGTATTCTCAAGTCCCTTCAGCAATTGGTCCGTTTGGGCATAGTCTACAGCGTCATGCCCGCAGGCCAGTGGTGCAGTGGTGAGTGGCTGCCCTGTGTCGCCTGCCGTTGTCAACTCATGCCAAGGTCGTTAAACTTCTTTCGGAATTCAATGCTGTGAGGTGTTGGGGAAAAGTGCCTTGAATTGAAGGTAGTTATTGGCCCTTTTGAGACGTTCTGGGCGTAAACCGTTGTATTGTGGACGAGCAAAAGGATCCTGCTGGTGAAATGATGGTGAAGTTATGTGTGATCCTGTGTGGTAAAGTGCTGCCACATTATTTCATGTTTGAGGGTGGAAGCACATGCTGCAGTGTTCTTCATCAACTTGAAAATTTGCTTGCCCTATTGAATGTCAGCATGATATTATTTGGCAGGTTGCCAATGGCTCTCCTAGCTGACTTTTTGAGGCTTATGGCTTATGACTTGTCAACGAGCTCATACGTCCAAGTGAGCTCAGTTGTTCTATCCAGGCAAGTCGTTGACCTCTCCGTAATCCAGGATCCACGCACCAACCAGAACTGTTCAATCACACAAACTGGGCGGCGATTTGAAGACTACCCCTGCGCTGGCCTCCACCCTCTGACGGAAGAGAGCACCGCACCGAGCGCTTGGCTCAAGAGACTGAACACAAGATGGGCGTGGCTAATCGGGGGACAGCAAACATGGAGCTTTTCTGTTCAATCTCCCTTTTAGGCAAGCCTCAAAATCAGAGCCCTGCTTACACATCCAGATGGTCGAAGCTAGTTTCTGCAATCATACGATTGGCGCGAGGAAGACGATTGGATGTTCGACTCGGGGTTCCGGACTCTGGAGGATGAACTCCTGAAATTTGGGAGGTTGGTGATTTATCATGCTGTACCGACATGCTCCAGTGACTCCAGTGTTTGTGCCCAGCAGCGTAGCATCCATGACTCACCATGTAAGATCACATGACTTGCTTTTAGAGCTCACAACTGCCTGAATTTCATAGGTCATGCCACTACATTCACCACGTAGGTCGCATATTCATCCGCTTGGCCAGTTGATGGCAGAGTGACTTCCGACTTTGCAGGGCAGAGGCTTTCTGAGACAGGCGCTTGCTTTGTTGCCGCGTTCTTTTCAAACACCAGCCATTTCTTCAGGGTTTTTGGTGGTTTTCTAGAAAGAAGGATCCCTGAAAAGAATGGGGAAGCTGGTAGCTGGAGTAACCTGTTATCTTTAAGCAGGCTTCAAGTCTTCGAGTTGGAGAGAGGTGCATCGCAGCCAAGTTTGGCTGCTCCCCGATTTGGAGTCACACCGAACTGCCGTCTTCGACCATTGTCCTTCAAGTCCGAGGTTGCAGTTCAGCTTTTTTTTTGTTTTGTTTTCCAAACTCACTAGGGGTATGTGTCAAAATCGGGGGACCCCCCAAAATAGTGGTTTTCTTTGTCGGCTTCGCTTTACACTTCAAGGGCCGGCCACTGGGCTACGTGCCAGGATGCCGAAGAGCAAAAGCGATGAGGCCGGATTGGCTGACAGGCTGTCTCGCTTGGGATCAGCATGGCGATCAGGGATCACTAGGCTGGCGCGGTGTTGGCTTGACCACGAAATGAAAGCTGGGCAAGCCATAACAAGCTCACCTGCTCCTGTGGACTGCCTGGTTCGCTCTTTGTTGCGAGCAAGTTCCTTTGAAGCCTGTTGTTTGGCAGCGTGCCCCTTGTTGGTGACCATTTGGCCTGGGGCTGGCCTCCTCCTTGCCCCTGTCGACTTGTTTTGCACGGTTGTAAGTTTGGATGTTTCTGGAGCCGCGGGTTTTTGCTTACTGCCCCTGCCCTGCGGTATGCGGGTGTTTGGCGCCTCGCAGCCCACTATCCTGGTGTTGTCTTCTTAGGTATGGGAGACGCGCTGAAGCGTGTGTGGTTGGGTTTCGTTCCTCCAGGTTGGTCAGGCTTCAGCCATGGCCGCTGGTGCTAGGCATGAAGCCTGTTGCAACAGTGGAGATTGTAGGCTTCTTGAACGAGCTGGATCCCTGGCCATGTTTCGGGCGCGAGTTGGCCGATGAGGCCCGGCTGCAACGGGCGGCCTGAGCGCAGCTCTGATCTTGAGGATGCTCCAATCCCCGTGGGATGCCGATGCGGAGCAGGAGTAGCCAGCAGAGCAAGCTGACATGGATCGCTGGACAGGCGCCTTGGGGTGCTGGCATGTGTCCTCAACCACGTGGGTGGTTTACGCCGGAGAACGCACCTTGCCACTGTGGCCGCCGTGGCGCCTGTCTTTTTGCTAGGACAACTGAGCCACGTTCCGACTCCGCTGCTGTCATGGCCAGGCGTGGCACGCTTGTGCTAGAGACTGGGCTGGGATGAGTGGGGATGAGTGGTGGTGAGCGACCTGCCGAAGTTGCGGAGGCTGGGCCGAGTCTCGAGCTGGAAGCTGTTGGTGGCTGGAGACTGAATACTTGCAGCTCGTCAGGGCACGAAGCAAGCTGGAGGGCTGAGGCTGTCTTTCGGTCCTCGCTTCAGAGCATGGTTTGGGAAGATCCCCTATGATCTAAATGGGGATCTGACCGCTTCCCGGCCTTGAGGGCTGAGCGACTTCCCAGCTTGGGTGATGGGCAAAGATGGCTACGTGGCCTGGCTCGCGACAGTTGTGAGATAAATAGTTGCCGCAACGTGTAAAGATGAAGATAAGCGACCTTGTTGATAGCTTTTTGACCTGCATCATGCATCGTTCTTGCAGAACAAACAGGTGCAGAACACCGTCTTAACGTGTATATATCCATATATACATATATAGATTATTTGTTTGTTTGTTTGTTCATGTATTTATTTACTTATGGGAGGGTATGTGTGCTCGCTCTCCATTGCACTTGTGAGCGCGGTTCGCAAGCAGTTGTCAGCCAACATTTTACGCGCACGTGTACGTAAGATGTCACCCGCTTGCACGTGTACTTTGAACTAGGTGCTACACTTACTTGCAACCGATGGAAAATTGGGCTTAAGTTGAGATGAACGTTTTTTAACCTTTGAAAGGCTGACCATCCTAAGGATGTGAATGGAAGTGTGGCAATGCCACGCATCCCTGGCATACCTCGGTGGCTTTGATTTCTCCCGCGCGCTCACACATGCTGCGTGCCTTGCGATAATCTCAGCTGGAGGTAAAATGAGCTCACCGTGTGTCAGGCCTAGATCCCTTATTCCACGTTGTGGAATTACGTATTGTAAACGTTGCAGATTTGTTCTGTTGCACCATCACAAAAACACGCGTGCGCACCCCCACACCCCCATCCATGCACGTAGCTAGCAACGTTTCAACAACATTCAAGAACTATGTTTCCAACTAGGAGTGGCCTGCCGAATGGAATTTTACAGCCGCCTTGCAACGTGCGCGGCAAACCTCGCTCAGCCACACATGTCAACATCGTCGGTTTGTGGTTCAATTCATTCACCACCTTGTAGACTTCAATATCTTCGGTTCTGCATGCGACAACTAGTGCCCCCTGACCGACTGCATAGGGAAATGTATCCCCTCATGTAAGCCACTGCTCCAGTTGCTTCGTTACTTGTTGGCCAGGTTGTTTTTGAGTTTGCTTCCCAGTTTACATGAGCATGTTTTCCACTTAGCTCCAGGCCCAAAGGGTTTCTTTGTTTTGTTTTGGTTGCCATGGGCCAAGCCCACGATGTTCTTGAAACATGGTGCGACTGGCAGGCAATCCGCATTCCAAGCAGAGAGTATCAAGCAAGGAATTTTAAATGAGACAGAAGTGGAGTTACTCTTTGGTGACGCCTTTTGTTTGCAGTCACAGGCGGCGCCCCAGCTTGGTGTAGTTCATTGTCGCAAGGGGTGTATCTCAAAATGTGTGGCGCCCCAAAATGGTGCCCAGAAAGGGACAAGCAGGACGCCGTTCAAGGCGTCATCAGGCGCCCTTGCCTGTCCAGGGCAACTCCCCCGGGGGCGTGTCACTGTGGGAGCTCCTCACCAAGTCCTCGCTGATGGTGGAGGGCATGGAGGACGCTTCCCGGCTCATGGAGTTCCGCCACAGGCCTGGAATCTCGTGCGCGCGAAGCTTGCAGTTGCAGCGCGTGAGCTTGACTCGCGCGCCGTTTGGGCGTAAAACCCTCAGTTGCGTGTTGCGAGTGGGGCGAGGTTAGGACTTACCCACGGGGTGAATGGGTCACCTTGAAATGCGGGGTCAATCCACCACACAAGACCAAAATTTGACGGAAATGGAGATGGGCAAATAAGTGAGCTCACCGTTTTCTCAAAGTCGTCGCAGATCCACGTGTCATTCGAGGGTGTCGCGGGGCAGGCAAGAATCCTAAACTAAAGTCATGAAGATACTTGCCGTGGTTATCAACAAGCAAGCCCGCTTGATCCAGGAGCAATGATAAGCGCCGAGCCAAGCCGATCAGTTGTCAAGCCCGCCTTGTTGCTGTTGCTGCTTGCTGCTGTTGCGGCTGCTGCTGCTGTTGTTGTTGTGGTTGTGGTTGTGGTTGTGGTTGTGGTTGTTGTCGTTGTTGTCGTTGTTGTTGTTGTTGTTGTTGTTGTTGTTGTTGTTGTTGTTGTTGTTGTTGTTGTTGCTGTTGCTGTTGCTGTTGCTGTTGCTGTTGCTGTTGCTGTTGTTGTCGTGCTTGTTGCATTTGTAGTTGTGGTTGTGGTTCTGGTCTGTTTGTGTCCCCCATTCCAGAAAATGCATAGAGGGGGGGACCGAGGTACCCCGTGCTTTTTTTTATGCATTTAAAGCGTGCATGCTTGCAGGCCATGCCCGGTATGTTGACAGTTGTGCCTGGGCTGCTGAAGCTGCGCCTGGGCTATTGAAATCTGTGCCTGGGATGTTGAAAGCTGCGCCTGGGTTGTTGATTGCGGTGCCTCGGCTATTGAAAGCTTGGCCTGGGCTGTTGACAGCGATGTTTGGGATGTCCGTGGCTCGCTTTGGTTGGCGGTTGCCTGCTGTGCCTGGGAGGCCTGGGATGTTGATCGCGGTGCCTCGGCTATTGAAAGAGTGGCCTGGGCAGTTGACAGCTTTGTTTGGGATGTCGACGTCCTTGGCTGGGCGGTTGCTCGCTTTGGTTGGCGGTCGTCTGCTGTGCCTAGGCTGTTGACAGCTCTGCTTTGGATGTTGATGGCCTGCGCTTGTTGAGCTGCGCCGGGTCTGCTGGAAAGGGCCTGGGCGGTTGGAAGCTGTGCCTGGGCCTGGGGTGTTGACTGCCGCGCCGTGCCCGGCTATTGAAGAGCCGCGGCCAGAAGCAGATTCTTGGCCGCGCAAAGCAAATTTTCATCAAACACATCGCAAATCCGCTTACGCCCCGCGGCCAGTAGCAGATTTGGCACACGTGCCCGCCGCCGAAATCATTGTTATCTTGGCTGGATCGCGGCCGGATCGCGGCCCGATGGCTGCGAGATCGACCGGATCGCGGACGGCTCGCGGCGCGGAGCTGGGTGACGTTTGCTGGGTCATGGCTGGGTCGTGGATTAGTCAGATCGTGGCCGGATGTTGGTCAGACTGCGCCGTGA